ATTTTTATTCTCTTCTAACAGAGAAAGACAAAGTACTTCATACTCAACCCAAGCCAAATGAGAACAGTATAAGACAATTGCTTTGAGAATTTTGTGTGCTCTTGAGTTTTAGACATCTGAAAATTACTAATGCACGGAAATGTTAAAGGCAAAATGCTGTGGCTAGGTAGAATACCAAAGATAGCCCACAGCTGATAAATATTTATGCTCACAAAGTCTTGCATTTCCGTAATTTGTTAGGCAAAATGACCTTGTATTTATTAAATAAGTGACATGAAGAGGAGAGCCACCTGCAATATAATACAAGACTTAGAAGGAATGTGTGCACAGAGTTACTTTAAAGGGACAGTGTTAAGAAATACAAAATTGCTTTTCCCTTGCAATATACTAGGTACAACTCATTCAGTACACTGATTACATTAGTATTACTATTAAAATTATAAAGTTCTGGCCGGCCCGGTGGCACACTGCTACAGTGCGCCGCTTGGGAGCGCGGTGGCGCTCCCGCCGAGGGTTCGGATCCCACATACAGACCAGTTCCCGCTCACTGGCTGAGCGAGGTGCGGGTGCAACACCGAGGGTCACGATCCCGTTGCTGGTGCTGGTCCGGTACGGGCGCGACACTGAGTGTTGCGATCCGTTGCCGGACACGAAAAAAGACAATAAATAAATAAATAAATAAATAAATAAATAAATAAAATAAAAATAAAAAAATAAAATTATAAAGTTCAAGAAATGTAAAATACATGACACTAAAAGTGAATAAAGTGATAACTTGTTCGGAGAGCTCGTGCGGTGGAATAGAGCAGTGTAAATTTGCCATTAGAACCTGATAATGTTTTGAACACTTGATCAACAGATTGGCCTTCTAACCTATATGTTTACCTGTTTTCTTTTTCTTTTCCCCAAGAAGTGATCTCAACAGAATGTAGTTTTAAGAAAAAATTGGTGTTTATGAATGTAATGTACATAGAGGCACTAATGATGTTAAAACTAAGAAGATAAAAATAGGCAACTAATATTGCATGTAAGAAACAATAAGCGTTGGTGGACTTGGGAGAAGTAAAGGGGAGAAGATCTTGAAATAGTCCCAAAGTTCTAAGTCTAGGTGATAGGAAAATAATAATATGTTATTTAGAAAATGGAAATTAGAGTAGACAAACTGTAATGTAGGGGCTAGTGGAAGTAGATGAAAAAGAAGAAATTCAAAGGGGTCCATGTTTAATTAATAAACTCCATGTTGAAGCTGGGCTAAGGACTGTCATACTATGGCTTGTCATACTATGTACTTTATGTATTTAAACTAAATTTTAAATGGTCACACATATAGTGGTAGATGTGATAACTCCTAAAATCTTTATAAATTTAGAAGCAATAATTTCTGTCACTTTTGCTAAGATGTATTTCAAGTACTTTAGATAACCGGTGTTATCAAGAATTTACCTCCACAAAATAAATCTAATGTGATTGGTAGGAAAAAAAATTAATCTACATTGATAGAAATCTAAGATATTGACAACTTATTTAAAAATGCAAATTGTTTATCAAATTTTAAGAGAATTAAAGTTAAGTAGCAAAGAATGCTTTTAAAATTGGTCAAAATGACTGAAGATTTCAATATCTGATTGAATTCTAATTATTTTTTTCTATAATTTGTGCTTAATTTCTGTTGTTTAGTATTTTAGGAATGACTGGGGATACTCTGAACTTGATGTTTATTCCACTTCTTTCAATATAACATCAACGTAGAATATATAACCTGTTTTTTTCTAGTGCTAAAAAACTATTTTATTTTCCAAAGTCCTTAGAAGTCAATAAGCCAATATGTGAAGCAACTTCTTAAAAATAACATTATCCATCTCATTATATAGAGAAGCTAAACAAATTAAAATGTAATGATTCATATTCAATAACAAAACAATACAAATTAAATGATTGCCTTTCCAAAAATCATATATTGATAGGTGGAATATATTTTAAATGATTAACAGAAGTTTGACTGACTGTATAGTAGTCCCTCCTTACCTGCAGGGGATAAGTTCCAAGAACTCCAGAGGATGTCTTAAACTGCAGATAGTACCAAACCCTACATATACTATTTTTTCGTATAAATACATACCTATAATGAAGTTTAATTTATAAATTAGGCTTAGTAAGAGATTAAAAACAATAACTAATAATAAAATAGAACAATTATAACAACATACTGTTATAAAAGTGAATGTGGTCTCTCTCGAAATATCTTATTGAACTGTACTGGACTCACCTATTTTTGGACCTTGGTGACTGCAGGTGACTACTATCTAGAAGTACACATAGACATGTAGTATAATCATGGAGTGTAAATATGGAAAGTTCGTACTCATGTGAACTAAAATTGTTTTAATGTCATTATTATTATTATCTTCTAAAGTTATTAATTATATATCAAAAAAAAAGACGTCTCGGCTGGAAATCAGAAACTACTTTTTTACAGAAACAAGGAATTTTAAAACCTTAAATTTCATTTTATTTTCTCAGAAAGAACCACACTATATTTTAATGATTTATCTATATTTAAGAATATACTGCTAATAGTCTACTATTAATGTCACACATTCTATAGATTTCTAGATATCTAATTTTCTTGTATAGAAAGTTAAATGAAACTTTTGTTATAAAGATTACAGATAAAAAAGTTTGCATGTGTAACAATTCATTTTATCAACTATAGTGTTTTGAACATTGGTGAAAAAGACATTCAGTAAGGTTTCAACAGAAAACATTCGAGCATTACGTAGATGGTTGAGATAACTAGCAATTCGATAATTCCTTGAATGTTTTTGAATTTCTTGATTATTCATAATGAAATATGTGATATTATGCAGAACAGTTTCATGTTATATTTTTTAAATAGTGTTCACAAACCTCTGTTAAGTAAGTGCTCTTCTAAATGCAGAATTGATAATTACTTTAGCAAATACTTCTGTAGAGCTTACTATGTGTTCTAACAACTCTGATGATGTTAATTACATAATTTTCACTGCAGTGTTCTGGATTGGATACTAGTGTTATTTCCATGTCATAGATGTGGTAAGTGAGCATTGGAAATGTTAAGTAACTCGCCCCAGGTCACAGAGCTAGTAAGTGGCATCCCTGGGGGATGTGACAGGACTTTTAACTAATGTGAACATAATACTTCGCACACTATTTATTTAAAAAATGCAAAAGATGTCACTGGTCACATAGTTTCTATTTTTCCTATTTTATGAGAAGACAGTTGGTTCTAAGCCATAAGAGAATATTTTATTTAAAAATAGTTAAAATTGTGGACAGTACTCCAATATATAGTATGAAGAAAGAATAATGTTTTAAATAAATACAACTTTAACTTAGATTTTAAATTCTAAACTAATTCTTTACAAAAATATCCCTACAGAGTAGAAAAACTGAGGATACTTGAATATTCCCGAGAGAATATGAGATGTTTCTTAACTATTTCTAGACATTACCATAAAATACACTTTCAAATCTGTAAATAAAGGGCCGGCCTGGTGGCGCACTGCTACAGTGCGCCGCTTGGGAGCACGGTGGCGCTCCCGCCGAGGGTTCGGATCCCACATACAGACCGGTTCCCGCTCACTGGCTGAGCGAGGGGCGGGAGCAACACCGAGGGTTGCGATCCCGTTGCCGGTCCCGGTCCGGTACGGGCGCGAAACTGAGGGTTGCGATCCGTTGCCGGACACGAAAAAAGACAAAAAGGAAAAAAAAAAATCTGTAAATAAATCCCTGTTCTAAGTAGAATATTGTTGTGTAAAAGCTAAGCACATCTTCAAGGCACAAGTCCAGAATACTATCTAACATACTATGTGTCTATTTTATTTTCTATCTTTGTGTGTGTGCCTGTGTTTGCATGTGTATGTAGGATCTAAAAGAATTTCCCCATAAAGGGAACTCAAAAATTGTTATAGATCTGCTGTTTATAGATTTTCAAATTATTAACTGTATACACAACTTTATTACCCACTTTTTTATTTCCATTTTTACTATTTGATGGAATTATATCTAAGAGCATTTCTGAAATGATCAGAAGGAAACAACATACCTTGTGAGCACATTCATATGATTATAGGCATGAATATGCAAAACTTTAAAGAGGAAAATTTATTTATATGGGAGAAAAAATACTGCAGCAAGTTATGTCAAAATTTATTCAATGATGCTCAGAACTGTAATTAACAATTGAAAACTGAGTACCAAGTATGTATTACATAAATAGTCGTTGTTGGAAATAAATTGTAATGTAGGGGGGGGCATAGCAGTAGAATTGTAGAAAAATATAACCTTAATGTATGCAGTCTTCTAACAATGCTTAAGCAAAACAGCTTTTCAGGGGCCATAACAAAGGTCAGGCCCGAGCACACTAAACAATGCCTCTTTTCAGGGGCCAGAACAAAGGTCAGGCAGAGCACACTAAACATTAATAGCCCCCACCGGTTCCAGGAAATAGCTGGTTCAAAGGCCACCTAGCCAGGCCCTGGGGAAGATAATCAACTGAGAAATGCGCTGAGGGGTGCCAGCCTGCTAAAGCCCACCTGTAAACCCAAAAGGCGCCAGCTGAAGCCCACCTGTAAATCTAAAATCACCACAGATAACCAACAATTGATCCTATCACAATATCTGCTGAAAAAAACTGTATAAAAGCTGCTTGTATTGCGAATTCGGGGTCGCTTATGTCTTGAATGCTGGGCGACCTCAGCTTGCTGGAAATAAAAACCTCCTGCTTTTGCATCAATCTCTGCCTCTTGGTCTTTGCGAGATGAGCCTTCCCGAGAAGTAGGATTCACGCTTTCTGGCCAGTCTTACATTTTGGTGCGTTGGCCAGGAAAAAGCTCTCTCTCTGGGACCAGAGACTAGACAACGGAGGATTGCCAAGGTACCGCAGTTGTCTCTGTCTGTCTGCATCTGTCTTTGAATTTTCTCTGTTGTTTACTGTAATCTGGTTTTGGGTTTCTCGGTAGCTCCAGGACGGAAACACCGAACTGGTTTTGGATTCTCTGAGGCAGAGCCATTGGTCTGTAGTGGCCAAGCGACGTGGCAGACGTGCCAGCACGCCACGGACACAGGAGTCCTGGAGGACGCTCCAGACTCCTCTATAGGAGATGAACAGGTTCAGCTCCACGGAGATCTCTAAGAAAGAGACCCCTCTGATAATCTGGTTGTAGCACTCGTGACAAGAGTGCTTCGGTGTTTTGTTTCTTGTCTGTCTGACTGTGGGGTGGGGGGGGACTGACGGAGGTCTGGGGCGACATGGGACAAGCTGTCTCAACTCCTTTGAGTCTGACTCTGAAATACTGGACTGATGTGAAATCCAGAGCTGATGGTTTGTCTGTGCCAATTAAAAGAAAAAAAATGGGTAATGCTTTGTTCTGAGGAGTGGCCAGATTTCCAACTCGGATGGCCAGCAGATGGTTCCTTTTCTCTGTCACTGATCATGGCAGTGAAAAGTAAAATTTTTAACTCTGAACATCTCCCAGAACAGACATTTTATATTGTTGTCTGGGAAGATTTAGTCATGGATCCTCCTCCCTGGGTCCGTCCCTTTGTTCCCTTAACAGGTCCAATGGCTGTATTTGCCCTCCGAGAAGTAAAAAAGAAGCCTGAGATCCTGCCATCCACGGACCCAGACTGGCTTCTTTCTGACCCCCCTCCCTACCCACCTTCTATCCGATCACAGGCAGCCTGACAGTCTGCTCCACCACAGGAGGGCCCATCAAAGAATGAACCAGAGAGAGGGCCAGCTCAAGGGACACACAGTAAACGAGTGGCCCCTTCAGATGCTGTCCCTGTCTTCCCCCTGTGGGCTTACGGCCCCCCTGATGAAGAAGGCCATCAGCTCTTGCAGTACTGGCCTTTCTCTTCCTCTGATCTATACAATTGGAAATCTCAGAATCCCCCTTTCTCTGAAAACCCTCAAGGTCTCAATAACCTCATAGAATCTCTCCTGTTTACTCATCAGCCCTCCTGGGACGATTGCCAGCAGCTTTTACAGGTCCTGTTCACCATGGAGGAGAGACAACGAATCCTCCTTGAGGCTCGAAAGAATGTGCCAGGGGCTGATGGGTGACCTACTCTCCTTCCTGATGTTATAGATGCAAGGTTCCCATTGATCAGACCAAACTGAGACTTCAACTCGACTGAAGGTAGGGAGCACCTAAAAGTCTATTGTCAGGCTCTAATGGCAGGACTCAGAGGGGCAGCAAAATGCCCCACTAATCTGACTAAGGTGAGAGAGATAACCCAGGGGCCCGAGGAATCTCCATCAGCATTTCTAGAAAGACTCATGGAGGCATTCCGTCGGTTTACCCCATATGACCCTGGTAGTGAAGAGCATAAGGCTACAGTGACGGTTGCCTTTATTGATCAGCCTAGCAGGGACATCAGAAAGAAGCTACAAAGGCTCAAAGAGTTGCAAGATAAGTCATTAAGAGAATTAGTGCAGGTGGCTGAAAAGGTTTATCATAACAGAGAGTCAGAGGAAGCTAAAGAAATTAAGAGAGAAAAGCGTCATGAGAAAAACTTACACAGGCTTCTGGCCACTGTAGTTAGGGAAACCAGAGAGCCTAATAGGATGATGCCAAGCAATAAGAAGGGACCCCTGGCAAAGGATCAATGTGCTTTCTGTAGGGAGAGAGGACATTGGGTACAGAATTGCCCCAAGAAGAAGAAAGAGCCTCAAGCCCCCAAAGCGCTAACCTTGCAGGAAGACAGTGATTAGGGGGGATGGGGTTCGGGTCCCCTCCCCGAACCCAGGGTAACTCTTAAAGTGGAGGGGAAGCCTATTCAGTTCACGGTAGACACTGGAGCTGAAAATTCAGTACTGCTACAAGCAAATGGACCTCTTTTCGAGAAGAAGTCATGGGTTCAAGGGGCCACAGGATACAAACAATACTCATGGACTACCCAAAGAACAGTGGACCTAGGCATGGGCCGGGTAACCTACTCACTCATAGTCATTCCTGAGTGCCCCTACCCATTGCTGGGAAGAGATCTCCTCACCAAAATAGGTGCTCAAATTCATTTTGACCCCGAGGGACCTAGGGTACTAAATCGGCAAGGGAAGCCTCTCCAGGTACTAACCCTTAGGTTAGAAGATGAATGCCAATTGTTTGAAAAGCACAGGCAAGAAACTGGGCAGATGGATTGGTGGTTAGGAAACTACCCCCAGGAGTGGGCAGAAACAGCCGGAATAGGGAAAGCTAAGAACCGGCCCCCCGTCCACATAGAACTAAAGGCTCAAGCTAGCCCTATAGATGTCCGACAATACCCGATTTCCAGAGAAGCATAAGAAGGCATTCAGCCTCACATTGCCTGCTTGCCTCAGCTGGGAATCCTATGGAAGTGCCAATCAGCGTGGAACATGCCCTTGCTGCCAGTTCGGAAAGCTGGGACTAATGACTATCGACCGGTCCAAGATCTCCAAGAGGTAAACAAATGTGTGGCTGACCTCCATGCCACCATCCCTAATCCCTACAATCTTTTAAGTTCTTTACCTCCAGACAGGACCTGGTATTCAGTACTGGATCTCAAAGATGCATTCTTCTATTTGACACTGACCGTAAAAAGTCAAGATTACTTTGCTTTCGAGTGGAAAGATCCTGAGACTGGCCTAGCAGGGCAACTCACCTGGACCCGCCTGCCTCAAGGATTCAAAAACTTGCCCACCATCTTTGATGAGGCCCTCCACCACGACTTGGATATGTTCCAGGCCTCTAACCCCCAGGTAACTCTGTTGCAGTATGTAGATGATCTCCTCCTGGCGGTGGCTGACGAAGAACAGTGTCTAGAAGAAATGAAGTGTCTCCTCACAGAGCTGGGAGAACAAGGCTATCGAGCCTCTGCCAAAAAGGCCCAGATCTGCAAGCGACAGGTCAGTTACCTGGGGTACCTACTGAAAGATGGAAAAAGGTGGCTGTCTAAAGCCAGGAAAGAGACAGTGTTTCACATTCCACCACCCTCTAAATCAAGGCAAGTCAGAGAATTTTTACGTACTGCCGGGTTTTGCCATCTGTGGATACCTGGTTTTGCTGAGATAGCAGCTCCATTATATCCCCTCACTAAAGACAATCAGCCCTTTAAGTGGGGAGAAAAGGAGCAACAGACTTTTGATAACATTAAGACGGCCTTAATGTCTGCGCTGGCTCTGAGTCTCCCTGATGTAACTAAGCCTTTCCATCTGTATGTGGCAGAAAATAAGGGAATTGCAAAAGGGGTCCTAACTCAAAGACTGGGGCCCTGGAAAAGACCGGTAGCATACCTGTCTAAGGAATTGGACCCAGTAGCTGCAGGGTGGCCAGCCTGTCTAAGGATTGTAGTGGCAGTTGCCATCCTAGTAAAAGATGCTGACAAATTGACTATGGGGCAGAATTTAGTAATCTCAGCCCCTCATGCTTTAGAGAGTGTTGTCCGCCAGCCCCCCGACCGCTGGCTCACAAATGCTCGCATGACTCACTATCAGACTCTGTTACTGAGTTCAGACCGGGTTACCTTTGCTCCGCCGGCGAGCTTAAATCCAGCCACGCTGCTGCCGGACCCTGACCTCGACCCGCCTATCCACGATTGTCAACAAGTGCTTGCTGAGGTGCATGGATGGCGGAATGACTTGTCAGATCAGCCCCTGACAGATGCCGAAGCCACCTGGTTTACAGATGGCAGCAGCTTCCTGGAAAAAAGGAATAAGAAAGGCAGGGGCCGCTATAGTGGATGATAGCCAACACCTGATATGGGCTCAGGCCCTACCTGCAGGAACATCCGCCCAGAAGGCAGTACTCAGATACCATATCATAGGGCAGATAGTTAAAAGCTGTGTACCTTGTCAAAAAATAAATGTCTGTAAGAGTACAGCGGGCCCTGGTAGAAGACTCAGAGGAGACAGACCAGGGATGTATTGGGAAGTAGACTTTACAGAAATTAAACCAGGCAGATATGGTTACAAGTATCTCCTAGTTTTTATAGACACCTTCTCCGGATGGGTAGAAGCATTCCCAACAAAACAAGAAACAGCCTCCGTCGTGGTTAAGAAAATCCTAGCAGAAATCTTTCCACAATTTGGGGTGGCCAAGGTAATCAGGTCTGATAATGGACCTGCCTTCATTGCCAAGGTAAGCCAGGGAGTGGCCAGACAATTAGGGGTCAATTAGAAACTACATTGCATTTACAGACCCCAGAGTTCAGGACAGGTAGAAAGGATGAACAGAACTCTAAAAGAGACTCTGACTAAATTAACCATAGAGACTGGCGTAGACTGGGTTTTGCTCCTTCCCTTAGCCCTGTTCAGAGTTAGGAACACCCCTCTTGGTTCAACCTGACCCCCTTTGAGATCCTCTATGGTGCCCCTGCCCCCTTGACTTCACTGGAGGACGCCTTTGAACCTACTTGCCTCAGTAACAGTGACTTATATGGCAGGTTAAAAGGACTCCAAGCCGTACAGAAAGAAGTTTGGACACAGCTGGCAGCTGCTTATGAACCTGGGACCCCCAAAGTTTCTCATCAGTTCCAGGTTGGGGACACAGTCTACATCAGACAGCATCGTTCCCGGACCCTGGATCCTCGCTGGAATGGACCTTACTTAGTGCTCCTAACAACCCCGATGGCTGTGAAGGTAGACGGGATCTCCACTTGGGTCCACACCTTGCACGTGAAACCTGCACCACCAGAGGACCAAGGACAGAGGAGCACCACCTGGAGAGTTCAGAGTGCCGAAGAGCACCCCTTAAGACTGAAAATTGTTCGGACACCTTAACTGTGATAAGATGAAAACTCTCTTGTTTCTCTTATGTCTAACCATTCTCTTCCGGGGCATAGAAGCTGACAGCCTGCATGTTCCTAAAAATTTCACTTGGTATGTTATAAATGGGGTGGGAGATACAATCTGGAGTCAGTCCAAAGTAACTACAGGAGCCTGGTGGCCAGACTTATTTCCAGATGTGTGTAAACTGGCTTTAGGAGCCCCAGGCAACTGGGATCTAGAGGGATACTTTGACACTCGCAAGCCCCCTTTTATTCCCTCCCCCCGGGAGCGCCTCGGGCTTGATCCATGGGGAGGTTGCTCTACAGCAACTCGGAGGAGTATGCTGAGTACCCTCCATTCTATGTGTGCCCTGGGTCCCACCGTAGCAGAGCACTAAACTATTGGTGTGGGGGCTTGTCAGAATTCTTCTGCAAAGACTGGGGCTGCAAGACCACGGGGGACACATATTGGCGTCCTTCGTCCTCCTGGGACTTTATAAAGGTAACTGCTAATTATACCCACCGCTCCCCCCCTGCTGTAGGGTGGGCAGGCCGATTGGGAATCAACAACCTTCGGTGGACCGAAGTCCCTACCTGCAATGGGTGGTGTCACCCCCTCAGAGTGTATTTCACAGAAGCAGGAAAAAAAGCTAGTGGATGGGACAAAGGATTTACATGGGGTTTAAGGTTTTATAAAGAGAGATATTATGATGGGCTATTGTTCACTATTAAACTTAAAGTGGAGCTTCAGTACACCTCCATGGGCCCAAATAAATATTTAGCTCCAGTGAAACCTCAAGTGGCCAGGCCAAAGATTACTTCAGCACCCCTGGGTACCCAACCAGAGCCCATAGCCCCCACTAAAAGGCCCAAAGCCAGGCCACAAAGAAAAAAAAAGCCTGAGCCTCTCAATCCTGAACTTCAAGAACAATCTGGGCTATTCTGAATAATTTCTGAAGCCTTCAAGGTCTTAAATAATACCAACCCCAATGCTATTCACTCCTGTTGGCTGTGCTACGACATTGCACCCCCGTACTATGAAGGGATAGCTTTCTGAAATAGAATTAAAACCACAACAAATGTCTCTAACTGTCGTTGGCAGCAGCAGCGAGTTAAGCTCACTCTGTCAGCAGTTACAGGGCAAGGAACATGTGTGGGAAAAATCCCCTCCTCACACAGCCAGCTGTGCAATCAAACACTTAACCTAACTAAGTGGCCGGATGACACTTATCTGTTACCCCCTCAGGGAGGGTGGTGGGCGTGTGCTACCGGAATCACACCCTGTGTTAGCTCAATGGTCTTAAAAGAAACCCAGGATTTTTGTGTTTTAGTTCAGCGGCTGCCTCGGCTCGTTTACCATCCCTACGAGGAACTATTATCTCATTGGGATGGAAGTGATGAAAACTATTGAACTAAAAGAGAGCCTTTAAGTATTACGCTCTCTGTTCTCCTAGGCCTGGGATTAGGAGCAACTGGGGCAGCAACAGGAGCCTCAGCTCTAGTTATTCTAGTTATTCAGTTATTCAGCATCAGAATTACCAAAGTTGCAGGCAGCTATCGATGCTGATATTAAAGAAATAGAAAATTCTATTACCAAGTTACAAGAGTCCCTCACTTCCCTCTCTGGGGTGGTCCTACAAAACAGGAGGGCACTAGACCTCTTGTTCCTTCAGCAGGGTGGGCTCTGCGCCACATTACGAGAAGAATGTTGATTTTTTATATTGACCATTCAGGAGTTATTAAAGACTCCAGGGCAAAAATTAGAGAAGGCTTAGCCAAAAGAGAAAGAGAACAAGCACAGGGATGGTTTGAATCCTGGTTCAACTCCTCCCCTTGGCTCACAACTCTTGTGTCCACTTTATTAGGTCCGATAATTATTTTAGTGATGATTTTAACTTTTGGTCCCTGCATTTCAAATCATCTAGTGGCTTTCATTAAAGACCATATTGGTACCGTCCAAATTATGATGCTAAGACAACAATACTGAGAACTAAATCAATAAGGGCAAGTATTTCATGATTGAAATACGCACCAGAAGAAAAAGGGGGAAATTGTTGGAAATATATTGTAATGTGGGGGGGGGCATAGTAGTAGAATTGTAGAAAAATATAACCTTAATGTACGCAGTCTTGTAACAATGCTTAAGCAAAACAGCTTTTCAGGGGCTGTAACAAACGTCAGGCCCAAGCATGCTAAACAATGCCTAAGCGAAGCAACTTATCAGGAGCCAGAACAAAGGTCAGGCAGAGCACACTAAACATTAATAGCCCCCACCGGTTCCAGGAAATAGCTGGTTCAAAGGCCACCTAGCCAGGCCCCGGGGAAGATAAACAATTGAGAAATGTGCTAAGGGGTACCAGCCTGCTAAAGCCCACCTGTAAACCCAAAGGGTGCCAGCTGAAGCCCACCTGTAAATCTAAAAGTGCCACAGATAACCAACAATTGATCCTATCATAATATCTGTTCAAAAAAACTGTATAAAAGCTGCTTGTATTGTGAATTCAGGGTTACTTATGTCTTGAATGCTGGGCGACCTCAGCTTGCTGGAAATAAAAACCTCCTGCTTTTGCATTGATCTCTGCCTCCTGGTCTTTGCGAGATGAGCCTTCCCGAGAAGTAGGATTCACGCTTTCAGTCTTACATCGTTCAGGCAAAAGGGACCATGAAGATCATAAACACAATCTTCTCTTTTTGTGTGTGAGGAAGCAATTTCAAGCTATAAAAAGTAATTGGCCAATATCAAACAGAAAATATGGAGCAGCATTTATACCAGACATGGTATTTATACTGTCATTCTGTTAATCAATTCCAACCAAAATTTCAGAAGTCAAAGAATGAAAATAATCATTATGAAATATTTAGCATTTTAGAAATGATAATGTGGAATCAGTGATTTTATATCTAAATGGACATATAATATTTGAAGAATCATAAAACTAACAAAATAAATGGTTAACTTCGTAAGTTTTTTATATCACTTTTGTCTCATGTAAGTATGACAAAATGATCTTAAGAAAAAATTTTGATAATGTCAATAAAAAATAAAGTTCTATGTCTTAAATGATGAAAGTTTCATGATTTTTGGTGTTGAACTGAAAAATAGATGACCCACAAATGGAAAATTAAAAGTCTTCTGCACATATTAATTAAATTTGAGATGAATGAAAATAAAGTAACCTACTAAAATTATTGGGAGGTAAAACTGTGCTTAAGGAAAAGTTTATAGGAGTAATCACCAATATTAAATAATAAAAGAGAGAAGAATCACCACTTGATGAAACTCAACATCCTTTCATGATAAAACCATTTGACAAATTAGAATTAGAAGATAACTCTCTCAACTTAAAAATCTCATGGATGATAAGCCCATAGCGAACATAGTAAAAAATGGTTGAAGATTAAATGTGTCCCCCCTTAAGAACAGGAACAAGAGAAGAATATTCCATTTTGCCACTCCTACTAAACAATGTACTGGAGGTACCACCTAGGGAAATTAGGCAAGAAAAAGAAGTAAAAAGCATTTAGACAGAAAATAAAGTAAAATCATCTCCATTTGTAGATAACACAATCTTGTACATTGAAAATCCCAAAGAATTCACACACAAAAGGACTATTTGAACTAGAGATAATATGCAATTTCAACAAGATTTCAGGAAATAAAATCAATATATAAAAATCAAATATATTCATATACACTAGCAATGAAAAATCCATAAATGAAATTAAAAAACAATTCTATTTATAATAGCAACAAAAAGAATAAAATATTTAGAAATAAATTTTTAAAAAGGCTTACAATAATATTCTAAAAGCTATAAAACATTCTTAAAAGAAATTAAAGTAAAATAAATGGAAATATATAATATGTTCATTGATTAGAATACTTAATATTGTTAATAGAGCGATGCTCCTCAAATTAATCTATAGAATCAACACAGTTCCTCTTAAAATCCCACTAAGATCGTTGCAAAAATTGACAAAATAATCCTAAAATCAATATGAAAATGCTCTTTGCTCTTGACCAGTCCACTTTTGATTTGACTGGACCACCTCCACTTCTTGATGGTTATTGCTTTGGTTATACCCTCTCTTCAGGATCATACTGTAAAGCCATGTGTCCTGTTATAATTCTTGGAAGAAGTGCTTCATTATCTTGATCCCACTTGATTAAAATTTCCATTGAAAGCTCTGCTCTTATCTGCAGCTGATCTGGGTGCAACAGATTTGGCACCCATCCAGTAAAAAGTTTGCTCAACTGTGATTTTTCAGTCAGAATTGTGTAAGCTGAAACAAATAAGATGTCCACGGTGCTGGCTATTGTTTCTGCCGTTAATTGTTGGTCCTCTTTAATTAGGGCACAAAGAAGATGACTTTTTTTCTCACAAATTGATGTGGATGGTCTGCCACTGAGGGGTTTACCTTCAACGTCATCTCGTTCCTTCTTAAAGAGAGTTTTCCATCTGTAAACTGCTGATTTCTTTGGGGCATTGTCTCCATACACTTTTCATAAAGCATCAGTGATTTAACCATTCTTCCACCCAAGCTTCACCATAAATTTGATGTTTGTTCTTGCTTCAATTTTTATAAGAATTTATGATGTTTTGATGAGGATTGTTTTCAAACTGATGGCTAATCCTCTTACTACCTCAAACTAGATGCTGTTTAGACACAACAAATTAGTATAAATTTATTTTGGTGAAAAAAATTTCGCAACCCATGCATAGTTTTTTCATGACAAGCATTTTCCATGAACTTTTTGAAGACACCTTGTATGTTCAAAACCGTTAGTCATTTGGGAAACGAAAATCTAAATTAAAATGGGATGCCACTTAACACATACTGTGATGGTATAATTAAAAAGATAGATAATAGCAAGTGTTGGTGCAGATGGGAAGAAATTTGAACCCACACTGTGGGTGAGAATGTGAGATGATGTAGTCACTTTGCAAAACACCCTGGCAGTTACTCAAAAGGTTAAACATAGTGTCACAATATGACCTGGTGGTTCTGTTCCTAGATGTATTCCCAAGAGAAATTAAAGCCTGTGTCTAAACAAAAT